CGACATTGAGTGACCTGTATTAGCAAAATAAGATATCCTTTGAAGAAAAATAGCATTATGGAGGATTAAAAGTTGAATTTACCTATAATAGTATGGGTAAATACTACGATGCTAATGAATCTCATTTGGTCCTTCTTTCCAAAAATTGTTTATACAGAGTAAAGAGCAGCTTCGACCTATCAGCGCCACTGATGGGAATCGAGCCCAGGTATTTGGTGCTTATTTTAGATGTTACCATTACCTCACAGTGCCACGAACGCCAGTGGATCTTAAGGTAGATGTGGCTTTCAAGGCAAACCAGTGAAATTATTGGTAAAACAAACTTGTTTTCGCTATTGCAGTCGATAACATTACTTAGTGTTGTGGAGACTTTCATTCCGCATTGGAATCTAAGATGAAAAGATTTGGAGGTCGATATCGCCAGAAGACGGCACAACTTTCATACAAAATAAGTCTCCACAACAATAGTATATCAAGAAATTCATCGAAACCCAGCTACTTTTCATATAAACACTACGTATATACAATTTAAATAGGTTCTGATCATGAAGCCTGCTAAGGAAGTAAGGAAAATTCAGCCCCATCACCCTACAGCGCATGGTGAACACGGTTCATATTAAAGGTCTACTCGAAGTTTCATAGCCTACTTAATTTGAATAAAATAAGCCTCTGGTGTACGCATTAAGGAAAAAAATTTTGATAAAAGAAACAAAATTACTTAACTCAGCAGATTCCATTACACCTATTATACCAAATAGCGAAGCAAACAAGCGGCACGCTCATATCTAGTTAATTGGTCAAGACATACTACCCCTCCCAAGTGGATGAAATGTTCAAGTCATAAAGACCTGAAATCATGGATGTAAGGAGCAAGAATATGCTTAAATAATACGAATTAAAAGCTATAATAAATGTTCTTGTAAAGAAAGTACTATGTAAGCGAGGTACTAACAAATATAACAACTTACTCCACTTCCGTCACGTTTATATACATGCACGAACGCCTTTAAAAACATACCCGAATTTTATTTTCTCTGAAAATAACCTCTTTGCCACAAGTGAAGCACATAAATACAAAACGCGCAGACAACCATAAAATTGTCATAACCCAAAAAGATGGATGTTAAAAGAAATAACGAAATACTCACTTGCTCTGTACAAGTGGATGATCGTCAGACTCTTCAAGAAGCCCCTCTAAATCAATCAAAGTTAAACCGGTAGAACTTGTAGTAGTTTGATTAACTTCTTTTGATAGGTTTGTTGAAGTCATACAGTCCTTTTCGTAATTATCGAGGTGGGAGAAAAAGCGATATCTGTCCACAAGCCCACGTATCCCGCCACGACAAAGTGCGAGCTCCTTTTCACTTTGCAGTTTGGCCTTAAGCGATGTTCCAAATTCACTAGATACACTTGACAGATAGTCGGTGAGTATCTATGGTAAAGAAAAAGATATAAAACGTGTGCAAGGAGCGATAGGAAAAAAGTATGGCTAACTTTGATAGTTTCCTTGAGAGCATGCCGCTCAGATGAATGCGATTTGATGTTAAATACCAGTTGATCGCTCAGATCTTTGGCACATTTACTGGCATCATCCCTTTCCTGCTGTGTTTTTGTGATCAATTCACGCAGCGAAGCCAACTCTAGGTGGGCCTCGTTCAATTTGCCTATAGCAGCAAGACGGGCATCATTGGAGCACTTAGATGCATTGGCTTCATAATCCAATTTTTTAGAGACTTGGTGCAGCTCCTGTTGCATTAAAACAAGGTTGGCAATTGCTATTGCTGCTTCGTGGCTGGCAGTAGAGGCAGCCTCGGCCATGGAATCCCGCTCATCCATAATCCGATTCATTTCAGATGATACCGAAAGAGAATCAGTCGAAGAATGTGCAGATGTAAGACCTAAAGGCTTTGCCTTTAATGATAGTAAGCTATGATCAGGAGA